GACAAAGATACTACACTCCCCTTACGCCCACCTCCCATTACAATACACCTAAGAAGATGGGACAAATGCTGCAAAAACTTTAACACTTAACCTGAAACCTATACTATCACTTAACTAGACCCCCTCCCATTTAACCATTAATAATGGGAAGATACATAGAGCAAATGAATCAAATAAACTCAAAATCTAAACCCCCATAAGAAAGGACAAAGATACTACACTCCCCTTACGCCCACCTCCCATTACAATACACCTAAAAATAAGGGACAAATGCTGCCAAAACTCTAACAATTAACCTGAAACCTATACTATCACTTAACTAGACCCCCTCCCATTTAACCATAGATAATGGGAAGATACATATAACAAATGAATCAAATAAACTCAAAATCTAAACCCCATAAGAAAGGACAAAGATACTACACTCCCCTTACGCCCACCTCCCATTACAATACACCTAAGAAGATGGGACAAATGCTGCAAAAACTCTAACACTTAACCTGAAACCTATACTATCACTTAACTAGACCCCCTCCCATTTAACCATAGATAATGGGAAGATACATAGAACAAATGAATCAAATAAATTCAAAATCTAAACCCCATAAGAAAGGACAAAGATACTACACTCCCCTTAGGCCCAGACCTATACTATCACTTAACTAGACCCCCTCCCATTTAACCACTAGACCCCCTAGGCCCATAATAATGCTGCCAATTAACAGATACATACTTAAAGACCCCCTCCCATTTAACCAAATGAATCAAAGAAACTCAAAATCTAAACCCAAGAAGAAAGGACAAAGATACTACACTCCCCTTAGGCCCACCTCCCATTACAATACACCTAAAAAGAAGGGATATGAGAGATAAGAAGAAATGCTGCCAAAAACTCTAACATTTAACCTGAAATCTATACTATCACTTATCTAGACCCCCTCCCATTTAACCATAGATAATGGGAAGATACATAGAGCAAATAAATCAAATAAACTCAAAATCTAAACCCCACAAGAAAGGACAAAGATACTACACCCCACTTAGGCCCACCTCCCATTACAATACACCTAAAAAGAAGGGACAAATGCTGCCAAATAACACTTAACCTGAAACCTATACTATCACTTAACTAGACCCCCTCCCATTTAACCTTTAATAATGGGAAGATACATACAGCAAATATGCAAATGAATCTTTTTATTTAAATTAAACTAAGCAAAATCCATGGTTTTCTTTTCAACCAGTGCTTAATGCCTATCTCATTAAGAAAGGACAGAAAAGATACTACACTCTGAAGTGTAATATGCTTTTATTGAACAATAACATATCTCTCCTTTAATTACAGTTATACATAAAAAAGAAAATGTGAATAAGATTTTACTTTTATTTCTTTACAAAACTAAACAAATTTGTTGAAAATTTATCAGACAATTAGTAGATAATATAATAAAAACTAAAAAGCATTAATAACAATCAACTATCTAAATTTTCTAAGACTTCAACAGACATATATGCACAAAGTATCAAATATGCATTATATAGCAACAATTTTGTGACAGAAATGCAAAACTTCTTGACAATAACATTACATCTAAACATAGATGCTTTGTAAACATATCAAACATTTGTTTAGAGGAAAGTTGAATACATCAAAGTAATCATTTCAAAGATACGAAATACACTGTACTTATTTTTAAGTTCACTTAATAGTAAATCTTTCCTATAAATAAAGAAAGCGAAAATTGGAAAGATTGCAACTGAAGTGAATAATTATATGATGATCAACAGACTCTGACTTTGAATATCAACTACTATATTAAAAGAATTTTTCATAAGTAACATTTAATTAGTCTAAGAGTACCTGCAGGAATCAGATTACCTAAACTTGATGGTAATATTCCGAAATGGAATGATTAAGATTGTTTTTGAAATCAATAATCTTGAATTTAAAGACCAGTCATGAGAAATTATAGTGATCCACCTTTTCCTCTCTTTTAAATGAAAAATTGTAATGTTATAAAGAGGTAGGTTTACCTCCCTTTACGGGCTGGCCATTGACCTCCTCTTTTCATACTTACCTGGGTATAAGTGATTAATATATAGTCAATTCTCATTAGATTATAATATAATGGTGGTCACATATTAAATATCTCAATGCTGGAGAAAATGAAATATCAATTAATATGGAGTTAACTGAAATCAGCAATATATTAGTAACTTATAATGAGTTGTCAGTTTCTCTCTGATTATGCAGGTTGCTTCCCTTTTCTACACAGGTAACTAAAGCTAGTAAAAGTAAATGTTTAAAGCAATTTCTGAATGTTTTGAAATACAAAAATACAATAAACTTAACATTTTAAGTCAAAAAAATCAAAAAGATAAATAATCAAGTCAAAATATTTCAACACAAAGTTTGATATATATCATAAACATTATTTGAAAACAAAATGATACAAATGATATATATAAAATCTCTAACTGAGCTGTGCTTTCAAAATGTATCAAATTCTAATTGAGCTACAAGTCTAAATAAAATAAAAATAAATAAGTATGCTGGATGGTCATGAGCATTAAACTAATTTCTGAAAGCTTTGTATAAAATTATAGATAATGGCTTTAAATATAGTATGTGAACATTTGCAAGTACTTCATTTTCAGGTGCATCTATTCAGTTATTTTGTTGACCACCCAGCCTGTTTAAAGCCTCAGCAATTGTGATATCTACAATATTGCATGGGGTTGATTATAAAGTAATTACATAAAGATTTGAATTACATGTATGATAAGAATATTGACATGCACTGCAATTGTTATTACATTTGCTCTGAAAAAAAAAAATATATTAATTCATGTGCACTGTAAAAGTTTATACTCTCATGTACACCATGTATTGTTCTGCAGGGAATACATGACACAATTTAGACACAGTACTAACATTAATAAACTTACAATATTTAATTCTATACAGCAATTTTTTCATGAACAGATGATATTCGGGGAATTTACTTCATAAAACTATAGAATACAGTATTAAACATATATCAAAGATACCAATTACTTGATGCAAGTGTAATATATATTTCTAGTACAACTCTAATCATTATATTTAGCAGAACTCATTAATTTCTTTAAATTAAACTTTGTAAACAATTCATGTAATCTTAAAATTTTCCTCTATATTCAAAATACCAAGTTCATGATATTCATGTTATCATTAAAGAATCTAAACAGTAAGGGTAAAACTAACTCACACATCCATCAATACAGTATATACATAATTAAATAAATTAACAGATAATGCAATGATCATCATTTTTTTGACATGAATAATTGTCATTGATGGTACATGAATTTTCCTTAATATGCAACATACAATTATTTTGTACATTTATTAATTGTCTGTTGAAAATTAATCCACAATAAAAAGTCATAATGAAGGATTCCTGTTTAGTCCAATTGATTTGTGATCATTAATAAGGCAAATTATTTAGACTATTCCATGCATGTATATAAAAATAGTATAAAGTAAACATATGCCTAAAAACAAACAAAAATTTTTACATCAAGTAATTGGTGCCTATAAGATACTGTATACAGGGAAATATTCGCCCCATTTTATTTTTTCCCCTGTCATCCATCTTAGAGGTAGACAATGTTAAAACAGGGTAAATTAAAAGAACACAGTGTGATTTCTTCGATAAAACTGCGACTGGGGAAAATTTAAAACATTGCAAAATTGTGTGAAAGGGTGAAAATAACACAGCTAGGGCGAATATAACCCTGTATACAGTAATCAATGTACCAAATGTCACTAAAGTGACACTGACACATTGGTAGGTGGGAGAGGGGACAACATGACGTATCTCCCCCAAATAAGTATTTGCGTCCCTTATAGTATTTATAAAGTATACAGTAAACCATTTTATGGTCTGACCAATATGCCTCAATCACATCAGTTTCACAATGAGGGAAGTTTGCGAAAATCAAATCAAGTTGTGAACCTGAATCATGAGTTACCTTTTTTACCAACTGTGTGCATTTTAAATTCAACTTCATAAAATTCAGAAATTCTTTGTGACCTGTTAACAAATCAAAATTGAAATCTCCAAGAATTATCAATTTTTTCTCTGTGTCTACAAAAGGTTTTAAATGCAACATAACTTCACGTTCAAATTCTTTAAAAGAACATGCTGGGAACTTGTACAAAACAACTATCTGCACTTCTCCAAGGTCTCTGAAATTTATTAAAGCTATGATGAATTCAAGCAAAGTGTTGCTGAATTTTGAGATACATGACATCAAATGGTCTTGTTTAACGTAGATTGCTGTTCCATGATGAGGACGATTGCTGTCACTTCTCTTTTCATGATTAAACAAAGTCAAGTTACCTTCCATCATAAAATTCTGTTCATCATTGATGGTTAATCTTGATTCTGAAAAACCAATAACATCTGATGCCACAACATTGGGTTCATTTTTGATTTCATCGAAATGTTTGTGAAGAGATCTTGCATTATTAAACATAATTTTCAGTTTGTTCTGCTCTGTTTTGTACAAAGGAATATAACACAGTTTCAGAGGTGCTTCCTTCCTCATTCTTTCCATTTCTTCTACAACTTTTTCATCAACAGTTAATGCTTGCTCATTGAAATTCAGAATATGCAACTTGTCAACAGATCTAACTCTACTAAGAGCTACATAATGAATGTGTGGTGTTTTCCTTGTCCTTGTCTGAGACAAATCTACTAACAATTTCATCAACAGTGCAGCCCTGGGCCTTATGAATTGTCTTACCAGCAGCTGGTCTTAAAGGAAACTGTATTCTTTGATATGTAGTTGAATTGAAAACAAAAGATCGCTGACAGTCAAATATTGGTGTCCAATCATCCATAACATCATCATGGAAAAGATGTCTGTATTTCTGTCGAGCAATTCTCCCTACTGTAGAATCTAAAAACTTCACCCACACTATACTTGGCCTTGATACACCAGGTAATCTGTTTTCAACAAGAAATACAGTACATGATGAACCATTTGTCAAACCATCAGTAACATCAATATTAACTGTAATGTCATATATCATTCCAATGGCTAAGGTTAGTCTTGTCATGAGATTTGCAGTTTTGCTCATCTTGATTTTGCAATGTTCTAAGTAGTCGGTCTTTCACAGACTTACTGTGGTCTTGACGGACACTGTCAACAGCTTTCACAATGACTTTTTCACCAGGAAGTTGCTCTATAAGTTTATTGTTATATTCATCTACTTTTGCATTCATTGTGAAAAGATGGGGAGCATTGTGTGGATAATTTGGACTATTTTCAGCAATGATGCACTTGTGAATTATATCCAAGTCCTCAGAAGTCATCTCATTGTGACGAAGACGGTTCAAAAGCTGTGCAAATTCTAAATCATCCTTTTGTCGCATTACTTCATCTAACTCAAATAAGGTGAAGTTTTCTTTCCAAAGATTACATGCAAGTGCTTGGGCATTTTGTTTTAAATCCTGAAAAATCCATCCATCCATGATTGGTTTCAGTTGAAAGAAATCTCCAACAGCAATAATACTAATGTCTCCAAAAGGCCTCTTCAAACCAGTAAGAAGCTGAAGTCTATCGTTGATGAATTCCAACTTTGCATTGCCAACCATTGAAATTTCATCTATGATGACAACTGACAAATTTCTGTATTTAGTTCTAAATGTGTTCAGTTCATCACAATGCATGTTTTGCTGCCTTTGGTTAATTTTCTGATGAAATGCAGAAGCAATTGTTTGACCACCAATGTTAAATGCAGCTTTACCAGTGTATGCACAAAGAAGAATTCGTATATCGTCTGGATTTTCTCCCTCCTTAGCACATAAATACCGATGTAAAGCTTGATAAAGTGCTCTGATTAACACTGACTTTCCAACGCCTGCACCTCCTGAGAGATATGCATGAATAGGTTCCTGTTTACATTTGATCCATTGCATAACATGATTGAAGAATTCACGTTGTTTCAAATTCAGACTGGCTACAAGCTTTAAATACTCATCATCAGGTAATCTAACAGAACTCTGCTCACTCAGTTGTCTTGTTGATGGAATTCCAACATCAATTCCTATATCATACTCTCTCTGTTCAATTGGCCTTTCAGGATTAAAGTGAACAAATTTTTCAGAGTCAACATTTCCTTCATATTCATCTTCTGCCTCACATTGTTGAGCACCAGGAGCTAATTCATCATATGCTTCTGTCAAATCATCTTGCGCCATCTGCTCTGCCTGCTCAAGCGCATCAGCATTTTGTTCGTACTGTCTGATTTTCTGAGCTAAGAAAAATTTCTTCAGGTTAAATGACTGCTCAAAGCTCTGCTGTCCACACAGAAGATCAGAACTTTCATTTCGCCATGGAGTGAACAGCATTAGTTTTTCTCTATAGTAATTTTCTGGATCTGTCTTTAAACTATAGCGCACATATCTTATAACTCTTGGCGTTTTTCTGCGCTTGATTTTGATTCCATTTTTCAACACAACTAACGTGCTATCATCTTTAAATTCACTTTCAGTATCAGATCCACTGTCTTCATTTTCTGACTGGTGTGTCTCATCATCATTTGTTTCCATTTCAGACAGCTGAGTTACATTTTCTTTTGGGAAAACTACATCTATCTGTGATACATAGTCAGCTAAACACCAGTTTTCAAGTTGTTTTGGACGTTTTGCATATCTTTTGACTATGTTACTGCATTCTATGTCTGTGGAGTTGGCGTTCAACTTTTCAAGTTCTGAATCAGGTTTGACAAGAATTACACGGTCATCAACTGGAGATGTGTTTATAAACATTACGTCTCTTGATGCTTTTGTAAGTGGCATTTGCAAAACCAGATATGCTGCTTCTTGTGCTCCGACTTCAACACTGTTCAGAAATTGATTTCCAATGTGTCTAACTTGTCTCTTAATGTCAAGATTGCCGTCTCTTGCTTCTTTGGCAGCTCTACTCAGAAGATCACTCATACCCCTTTGGGATTTACTTATGTATGAGACAATGTACATTGCACAAGCATATGGATCCAATACATACTGAATGTCAATATTAGCTGCCCATGCATGAAGAAGGGTACTGTTGTAAGCATTCACTCTAAGATCGCAGGGTTTGCGCTTCAGAAATACTTTGGGTCCTCTCAAGGAACTTCTGATGCATTTGATATAATCATCTTCAGATAGCTGTACTACATCCTGCAAGAACTCTTGAAAACTGAAGCTTACATCACATCCATTTTTAAATTCATTCATTTTGTCCTGCATAGCTTTATACATCTTCTTGTATTTCTCAATTTCACAGTCCAAAGGTTCTAATATCATTGTAGTTTGGAGTGGTGGAAGTGGAAATCCAAATCTACAAACAGCCTTTCCCTTTTTTTTGCATGTTTGCGAGTGTTTATGCACCTGTAATTCTATCATCTTGTCTTCTGTATTTCTTTCACATTTTAAGTAGCTATCAACAAATGCAACAATTTCCTTGTTATCATTTTCCAAGTATTTTGGAGCATTTTCAATCCAAACAATCATGTGAACATGTGGTGATCCCCTTTGTTGAAATTCAACCCTATAGAAGAAGTCCTGAACCTTCCCAATAGGATGATGATCACTCTTAATAACAGTATTCAAAAAAGTCCGAAAACGATGATCAAAGTACCTTGTACATGTAATTGGATCTTTTTGAACTAACTTTGATTTTTCACTCCATGTCATGCTCTCAATTTCAGAATCTGTATACTCTCTGCCATCATTTAAAACTCCCAGTGCCTTTATCAGGTCATTCCATCGTGTATCTGCAGCAGAAAAGGACATAAACCAAGTTGGTAGACCAAGCTGTCGTATCATTGCAAAAACATCTTTCTTCCTTGTTTCAAGATATGGAGGAGAATTTCTCAACTGTTTGAATACATAAAATCCCTCATTGTGTCTGACAATGTTGTTAATTTGATCAGGATTTCTTATTTCATTTGCAGTAAAGGTTTTCCCCTTTGTTTTGCACTTTCTAAGAGCTAAATTGCATTTGTCTGTTACCTGTTTTAGTTGAATTTTTTTCAATTTGAAAAACAAGTTTGGCACCGACTGTGCAGCACGTCTATCAACACTTCGTAATTCCCACTTGGCAATATCAGCATATGAAACAGATATTTGACGCTGATTGTTTTCTACTCTTCCTTTACCACAAAATATTGTTGGAAATGACAAATACTCGGCCATTTGATCTTGATACAAACTAAGTGGACGTTGTCCCTCTCCTGGAGCAAATGTGAAGATCTGATTCATATCATATGAGTCACTGTCTAATAGTGTATCACAATTTCCATCCTTACCACTACTATCAACTTCACAGAATTCATCCGAGTCCGATTCATCTGATTGGTCATGTATTGTTGAACCTTGATTGGTGTGGCCCTCAATAAACTCTCTCATTAATTCATTTGCTGAATTGGTAACTTCATGGAACCAGTTGTCATCTATGTTTATGTTTGAATTCTGATAATATTCACTGTTTTTCATTAACCAATGTAAAGCAATCAGAACCTTTGTAGGTCGGATATTTTCATGACAATAAGAGTGTTGAAAAGATAGTTTTCTTTTTAACTTCACAGGTATTGTAATATTTTCATCAAGTCTCCTGGGAAGACTATTGATTGTTGGTTGTATGTCAACTGGCACATTTACAACATTTCCTTTTACAGAATACTGCCCTCCTCTTGGTAATTCTCTTATCTGCATGAAAGGAATTCTTAAGGATACAAGTCTTTCTTCCAATGGTAACAAATTTAGTTCACTTGGTTTTTGTACCCATGTCATTCCATTTGCTAAGGAGAGTTTTGGAGTTCGACTTTCTTTTAAGCTTGAATTGCAAGTGTTGCATATCCATTCCTGCCCATTTACAGACTTTGTATTAGTAAGATACTTTCTTTTGATTTCAGCATCCAACAAAATATTATCGACATTTGATACACTTTCATGAAACCATGTCTGTTGGCAACATGTGCATACAAACACAGGACCCAATCTTACATTGTTGTGAAAATTTTCAACACACTCCACTGCATCAACTCCAAATTTACGTTTTCTGTATCTTTGTTTTTCAGTTTCAATATAGTCAAAATTATCCCGTGAGTGTGCTTTTGATTGTTTTGCAGCAATATTTTCTGATGTTCTATATTCTTCATTTTTTCTCTTTTCTTTCTTCTTCAATCTCTCTTTTTCTAATTGGTTAGGATTTTGTCTCATTTCCTTTTTCTTCATTAAATCTCTTATTTGTTCGTCATGCCTGTACTCTTCTTCTTGCCTTTTAATTCTCTTACTTTCCCTTTCATTGTCTTTAAACTCTGCATCTTGTCTCTTGTTTCTCATACTGTCCCTTTCCTTATCTTTAAACTCTGGATCTTGTCTCTTGTTTCTCTTACTGTCCCTTTCCTTGTCTTTTAACTCTGGATCTTGTCTTTTGTTTCTCTTACTGTCCCTTTCCTTGTCTTTAAACTCTGGATCTTTTCTCTTGTTTCTCTTGTCTGTCTCTTGTCTTTTCCTCTTATACTCTGAATCTTGTCGCTTGTTTCTCATACTGTTTCTTTCCTTGTCTTTAAACTCTAGATCTTGTCTCTCGTTTCTCTTGCTGTCTCTTTCCTTGTCTTTAAACTCTGAATCTTGTCGCTTGTTTCTCATACTGTCTCTTTCCTTGTCTTTAAACTCTGGATCTTGTCGCTTGCTTCTCATACTGTCTCTTTCCTTGTCTTTAAACTCTAGATCTTGTCTCTTGTTTCTCTTGCTGTCTCTTTCCTTGTCTTTAAACTCTGAATCTTGTCGCTTGTTTCTCATACTGTCTCTTTCCTTGTCTTTAAATTCTGGATCTTGTCTCTTGTTTCTTTTGCTGGCCCTTTCTCTTTCTTTAAACTCTGGATCTTGTCTCTTGTTTCTCATATATTCTCTCATGTACTCCTTTTTATCTTCCTTTATTTCTGCTGTTTTTAAGTGACCAATATTACTACCAACAGATTGTTTGTTTGTAAAAGCAGTTGTTGTTGACTGATCTAATCTACAATATTGATGTTCACTTTGATTATTTCTTGGGAAGCTATGAATAAGTGTATGAAAGGCAACAGGCATCACTTCAAATTCAGTTGAAAACTCAATGTGCATACTTTCATACATTGCATACAGAAACCCCAACAAATCATCTAAGCAGCAACTGTGTCTCATCAGAGACTTTCCATCACAATCAGACAAACCGTTTTCCCCATGAGAATGCGAGTCAAAAAAATAAAAATCATTGTCTGAAGCTTTGTACAGTGCTGAACATATCGAGCCAATCATTATTAATACATATCTAGATAATCCCAATGCCTGTTGCAGACATTCATGTAGAGTTTGAACTTGATTTTTGTTATCATCTGTAACTAATAAGCCAAACAATGTATCAAACTTATCAACCATGTTGTGATTTTCACCAGAATTAATATGAACTGGAAGTTCATCAAACATAAGTAATCTACTTTTCAGTTTTCCAGCACTCTGCAGATTCTTCACAACTGTGTTGTACAAATTATCTCCCTTGAGCAGAGTTTGATCTAAAAAGGAACTAGTGAAAGAAAAATTTTCATATGAATTTGACAACATCATAAGTGAATTGCATGTACACTGATTGCCTCTTGAAAATGATGAAAACCTCATGCTTCCCTGATGGAAAGACCCAAACACTAGATTATCTGAATTCTGATGCATACAATTACCTTGTAGTGCATGTGATGTTTCCTTTGGAATATTGTTCATTGTAAATTGAGTAATATTCTGAGTTGAAATCTGAGAGATATTCTGAGTAAGCAACTGAGATAAATTCTGAGTAAAATTCTGAGATAAATTCTGATTCAAAGTGGTCTCAGGGAGAGCCGCAGAGACCACTGTCACAGGGGTGGTAGAGATCACCCCTGCCGGTACAGATGTCATAGGTGTTAGGACGTGGCCTACACCCAGAGGCACAGATGGTTGGACGTGGCCAACATCTGTGGGGTACTTGTCACCCACATCTGCCTTACATGATTTTGTCTTCTTTGCAGCAGCTTTCTTCCAGCTCTTCTTCCTAGGCATTCTGTAATCTACAAAAAATACAAGAACATTATAATCTATATTATAGAAGATTGATTAGAGTAGCCTATACTTGATACATACACACATTCTCAAATTAATAATGCTGCCATCACTGACACTTTCAAAATTACATCTAAAACATATGCCAACATCCATTGAAAGAGGGTGCTTTGGATGAGACCGAATAAACCGAGGTCCTGTGTCGCAGTAGGTGTTGGCATGAAAAAGATCTCCCTGCTTAATGATCCCGAGTGCCGCGTACAGGACAAAATTTGCAGCTCTCTCCACCGGCAAGTGGTGGCGTTTTCATACGAGTGAAAAATTTTCTCAAGGGACGTCAAACAATATACAATCAATGAAAGAGGGATGTAAGTTACATGTAATTGGTAAAACATTTTCACATAAAACTTACCTTTAAGATGTGTTGCACATTTCCAGTATAAGTACCATATACGCTGTAAATGTATCCAACATTTACTAGCAAACAGTTTTAGTGTAATCATCCAAATTACACACACGTACCCTATAAACTATTGTGTTATTTCCTAAAATTTGACATATTTTTTTGGCTTGAATTTTTATGAAAAAAAAGCTCTACTGTTTTGAACTTATAACAAAGATGCTTGGATTTCATAAGATACTGCTTCTTAAAAGTGCATCCCAACTCAATATCAAATGTCATGACAAAGATTATCATATTGCTTAATCACACACCAAAAAAAGTCTTGTCACAAGTAATGCAAAGTGACATGAAAGAAAAATATGTGAGAACAAATATGGTCCAATAAACAAGAAATTGACATTGGATTTATACAACCAGAAGTCTCTGTCGAGACTGAAGCTCTACTTGTTTGTACTTGAAGCAAAGGAGCAGAAAAGTACCTAAGCAGTTGGGAATTGAAAGTTTACAACAGCAATAAATATAAAAATGATCCTTGATTAAGTCGCTTTATGTTCTTAGTGTAGTCAACTTGTGTGCCACATTATATTATAAACAGACTTAAACTGCATTTGGAGTATTTTAAAGAAATTTCTATTTTTAGTAACCAAGGCAATAATATTCATCAAGATAAAAACCGATATATAGAATTGTGTATCTTAGTGTAATCTACTTGTGTGCCAAGTTATATTGAAATCAGATCAAAACTGTAGGAGGTGTAGCATTTTTAAATATTGTTTACAGACAGATGGACAGCTAGACAGATGGACGGACGCCAGACGCATTACTATTGCATAAGCTCTTCTGGTCTCTGACCAGTAAAGCTATAAGTTTATCAATAAGAAAGATATGACTTTGTTGACCCAGATAAATGTTTTGTTTCAGTGACCTTGAACTTGCCCAAATGACCTTTCGTCAAGGTCATGACACAACCTCAGATCACAAGCAATCTTTGAGGTAAAAAAGAAACCCACCAAGTTCATCAATAACAAAGATATAGACTGGACACAAATTATGAATTTTTCTTGTCGACCTTAACCTTACTCAACTTTAATAATCTTGGGTCAAAGTCAAAATTCAATCTTTAAAGGACTGTAAAACAATAGCATCTTGAAATATATTTAATATAGTTGTCTATGTATTCTACAAATGTATCCCACCATACAGCATGCCTTAGGCAAGATTGTGTTAAAATTTCAAGCACCTGCATCGAGTACTTGCTGAGAAAACTGCAATGAAAAAATTTTATGTATGAAACAGACGGATGTACACACAAAATATGAAGTTGACATCCTTTTTTGAACAAAAATGTTCCTTCGGCGCAGGGGTATAATTATAAGGGCTGGGACATTATATCGAGATATCAATATATTGATATATGTGAGGACGATACACATATCGATACATTTGAAAAAATATCAAAATATCTTAAAAAAAACTGACTTCTGTTCTTCTTTGTTTATTTAACATTTTGGGTTAAATATATAAAATAAATAAGTTAAATATAAATGTAGAAGTGAAATAAATAATAATTAACACAACTTGGGTAAATTTTTTTTTTGTTTTACAACATATCAATAACTATTTTGAATAAATTATTCTCATTTGCAAAGAAATAATTTGTTTATTTCAATGCAAAAAAAAAAGATTTTATAAGCAATTAAATATATCATGATACATATTGTATTGTGGCTTAAATATTGTGATACGTATCGATATAGAAAAAGTTGTATTGTCCCAGCCCTAATAATTATAACAACAAGAGGCCCAAAGGCCTTGAATCGCTCTTCAGATAAATTATACAATCTATCCTAAGGCCCAAGATGCATCAACTGACAAAGTTTGATGATTCTTAGCCAGTTAGGACTGAAGATATTTAATTGTAACTATGGAATACTATAAGTAGGTTAATGGTGACCTATTTTTTTATTGAAGGACAAAAGATACATTAATTGACAAAGATTGATGATTCTAAGCCAATAAGTACTTGAAATATTCAAAAGTGGGTCACAGTGACCTACTTATTAGTCAACATTCTCCGAAAACCCAAGGTGCATCAACTGACAAAGTTTGACAATTCTTAGCCAATGAGCACTCTAAAAGTCTTAAATATAGCCATAAATGTCACAATTAGGTCACCGTGACCTATTTTTCAATCATCATTCTCCAAAAACCAATGATGCTTCAATCCACAAAGATTGATGATTCTAAACCAATAAGTACCGGAGATACCTAAATATAGCCATAATATGTCAGAAATAGGTCATCATGGCCTACTTTTTGGTTGACACGCTCCAAAAACCTAGATGCATCAAATGACAAAGTTTGATGATTCTAAGCCAATATATACCTGAGATACTTATATATAGTCATAAAATGTCAAAATTAGGTCACCATGACCTACCTTTTAATCGACATGCTCCGAAAACCCAAGATGCATCAAATGATAAAGTTTGATAATTCTAAGCCAATAAGTACCCGAGATACTTAAATCTAGCCATAAAATGTTGAAAGTATGTCACCCTGACCTACTTTTTAGTTGATACTTTCTTAAGACTAAAGATGCATCAACTGACAAAAGATGCAAGGCCCCCCAAAAAAGGCCCCAAGATGTATCAACTTACAAGATTTGGTGATTCTAAACCTCATGGTGTCTGAATTAATGGGATTATGTTTTTTGAAAAGATTAGTCTTAAAGTTCAAAAAGTAGGTCACGATGACCTACATTTAAGTTGATGTTGTCTGGGGACCCAAGATGCACCAACTGACAAAGTTTTATGATCATAGGCCTTAAAGTCTCCAAAATATGCCTCCAAATCAATTTGAAAACAAAAGCCCATAAAAATTAATAAGAAGGTCACCATGACCTACTTCTGTATTGACATGATGTGAAGTCCTGAGATGCATCAACTTACAAGATTTGATGGTACTAGTATTTATAGTAAGAACAAGATGTGTTTGTGAAACACTATGCGCCCGGCGGCAACAAAGTTCAAAAAATCTATTTTTAGCATATTGGTCACAGTCAAGGTCACAAGGTCATTGACCATGGTGTCAATTGAAAGAACTTAATCGGTGGAGTATGCATCCCAAATATGAAGTCCCTGTCTCCTATGGTTCAAAAGTTATGGCAAAAAGTGTAAAAAGCTATTTTTAGCATATAGGTCACAGTCAAGGTCACAAGATCATTGACCTTGTCGTCGTTTGAAAAGACTTTCATATCAAATATGAAGTCCCTATCTCCTATGGTTAAAACGTTTTATGACAGACAGTGTAAAAAGCTATTTTTAGCATATAGGTCACATACAAGGTCACAAGGTCATTGACCTTGGTGTCATTTGAAAGGACTTTATTAGTGGAGTATGCATACCAAATATGAAGTCTCTATCTCTTATTGTTCAAAAGTTATGGCAAAAAGTGTAAAAAGCTATTTTTAGCATATAGGTCTTAGTCAAGGTCACAAGATCATTGACCTTGTCGTCGTTTGAAAAGACTTTATTAGTGGAGTATGCATATCAAATATGAAGTCCTTATCTCCTATGGTTAAAAAGTTATGACAGACAGTGGAAAAAGCTATTTTTAGCATATAGGTCACATACAAGGTCATAAGGTCATTGACCTTGGTGTCGTTTGAAAGGACTTTATTAGTGAAGTATGCATACCAAATATGAAGTCTCTAACTCTTATTGTTCAAAAGTTATTGCAAAAAGTGTAAAAAGCTATTTTTAGCATATAGGTCACAGTCAAGGTCACAAGATCATTGACCTTGTCGTCCTTTGAAAGGACTTGATTAGTGGAGTATGCATACCAAATATGAAGTCCCTATCTCCTATTGTTAAAAAGTTATGACAAAGAGTGGAAAAAGCTATTTTAAGCATATAGGTCACAGTCAAGGTCACAAGGTCATTGACCTTGATGTCATTTGAAAGGACTTTATTAGTGGAGTATGCATACCAAATATGAATTCTCTATCTCTTACGGTTTAAAAGTTTTGGCGAAGGTTAAAGTTGACAACAGACAAACAGACAGGACAAAAACAATATGCGCCCCGAAAAAATTCGGGCGCATAAAAATATCAACGATTTTAATAAGTGTAAATTTTGATAAACTTTGAAGTGACCTTGAGACCACGTCCTTTGCCCCAGGGTCAATTTTTAATCTTCAACATATCCCCACCCTTGTATGCAAGTTTGGTGAAAATCTGATGCATGGGTTTGGAGAAGAAGATTTTTTTAGCAACCAGTAATTTTGATTTTATTTTCCTGATTATCTCCCCTTGTTTTAAGGTCCCACCCCTAGTTATAGTATAAATGGTAGCCCTTGGGCCAAGGATATCCAGTGACAAATTTTACAGTGATTGGCCAAAGGGTTCTTGTGTTATGGCCCATATTCTAAAAAGTTAACACACACCGCACAATGTAACAAATGGCCATAGCATTAGCTCTTTCAGCCTTTGGCTCAGAAGAGCTAAAAATAAAACTGTGAATGTCCTATTTCATTGTCAGAAATATTTATAAGCAGTCTTCACGAAATTCACTGGTACAAAGACCGAGGACTGTGAAATTTGACATCAGGTTCGTGAAAATCAAAATTCAAAAAGTCTGATGGGCTTGTTAATTATCAAAATCATACCAATTGAATAAATATTTAATCTGTTTTGCTTGCGTAAATTTCATTAATATAATAAATAAAAACAACAAGCATGTGTTGGTGAATTGTATTATTATGTTCCCCAAACGAAGTTGGGGAACATATTGTTTTTACTCTGTTTCTTATTATGTTCCCCAAACGAAGTTTGGGAACATATTGTTTTTACTCTGTTTCTTATTATGTTCCCCAGACGGAGTTTGGGAACATATTGTTTTTACTCGGTTTCTTATTATTATTATTATTATTCTTTTTTTTCTTCTTTGTTCTCCGGTACTTTTTTGTCCGCGAGTGTTCTCAGAAACTGTTCACCCAACTGAGCTAAAACCTTTTTAGGGTTAATAGGTGTGTAGTGTAGGTGTGCAACACGAAGGTTATTTTGCGCGCATACGCATGCACGTGCGGGCGCGTGAAATGAGTGAAATGACGGATATACTTTATATAGCAATAACTTTAACATTTTCTGATGAAATATTTTAAAACTCATTTAATAAGGATATATTAATAGTGTAGATAATGTGACACTGTCAAATTAGCACGAACTCACGCGCATGCACGTGCGCTTCGCTCTGATTGGCTGCAACAAAAATCTCAATATCTTTTCTGTTTTTTGACGAAATGCTATGAAATTTAAAATATAGGCATACTTTAGGATGTACTACAATATGATATATAACAATTGTCATGTAAACACGCGCATGCACGTGCGCTGCAATCTGATTGGCTTAAACTTTAAAAGGCTATAACTCCCTTGTTTTTCACTGAAACAGTATGGGATTTAGAACATAGACAAACATAATGGACTCCCACAAGGAGGTATGGTCGTCATGCACATGCATGCACATGTGCTTTGCTGTGATTCGCTGAAACAAAAATCGCAATATCTTTTTTTAACTCTTGACGAAATGCTTTAAAATTTTAAAGATAATCATGCATTAGGATGTCCTACAATATGATATATAACAGTTGTCGTGAAAACATGCGCATACACGTGCGCTTCAATCTGATTGGCTTAAACTTAAAAGGGCTCTAACTTCCTCGTTTTTCAACCAAACAGGATGGGATTTAGAACATAGACAAACATAACAGACTCCTACAAGAAGATACAGTCGACATGCACATGCATGCACGTGCGTGCACGTGAAATGAGTAAAATTACAAATACACTAGATTACAACGTATTTTTTAATACTTTTGGATAAAACGCTGTAATTTCTAGTATATAAATAGTGTAGACAAGATGATATGGTCATTATGCACATGCATTCAAATGCGCATGCGTGCAATGCATAAATTTGAATATACTGAATATACTTCTGGGAAAACATTGTTATAGTCTAAAAGGCATAGAGTTCGTCTTATTTAATAAAGCTTACAGGGAATAAGGCACCAAAAGGGAGTTGGGGAGCGTTTGGGGAACATCTGTAATTATTATTATTATTATTCTTTTTTCTTCTTATTTCTTCTCCGGTACTTTTTTGTCCGCGAGTGTTCTCAGAAACTGTTCACCCAACTGAGCTAAAACCTTTTTAGGGTTAATAGGTGTGTTGTGTAGGTGTGCGGAACGAAGGTCATTTTGCGCGCATACGCCTGCACGTGCGTGCGCGTGAAATGACTGAAATGACTAATATATTTAATATAGCCATAACTTTAACATTTTCCGATGAAATGCTTTGAAACTCATTATATAAGGATATATTAATAGTGTAGATAATGTGACACTGTCAAATTAGCAAGAACTCACGCGCATTTACGTGCGCTTCGCTCTGATTGGCTGAAACAAAAATCTCAATATCTTTTCCGTTTTTTGACGAAATGGAATGAAATTTAAAATATAAGCATTCTTTAAGATGTCCTACAACATGATGTATAACATTTGTCATGAAAGCATGCGCATGCACGTGCGCTGCAATCTGATTGGCTTAAACTTCAAATGGCTGTAACTCCCTTGTTTTTCAACCAACCACGATAAGATTTAGAACATAGACAGACACAATAGACTCCTATAAGAAGTTACGGTCATCATGCACACGCATGCACGCGCATGCACGTGCGCTTTGCTCTGATTAGCTGAAACAAAAATCTCAATATCTTACTTGTTTTTTGACAAAATACTTTGAATTTTAAAACATAATCATACCTTAATACGTCCTAAACTATGATATATAAAAGTTTTCAAGAAACCACGCCCATGCACGTGTGCTGCGATCTGATTGGCTTAAACTTTAAATGCCTATAACTTTTTTGATTCTCAACAAAACAGGATGAAATTTAGAATATGAATAGATATGACGGATTCTTACATTATGCTACTATCAAACTTGAATGCAAGGACTTGCATGCACGTGTGCGCGCGCAATGCGTTAAATGACCGATTTACTTGATATAGTCGTAATTTTTTTTATGAAACGTTTCAAAATTCAAAGAATACAAACACATTAAAAGTGTAGTCACGATGATATAGCTTTCATGCATTGCACCTTCGCGCGCGTGCAATGATCAAATGACTTGTATACTTGATATGGCCGTTACTTTTATATTTCTTTATGAAATGCTTTGATGACCTTGACCTTTGACCTTGACCTTTGACCCCTTGACCCAAAGGTCACAATCCAGCTCAAGTTCGTAGATGTATTTACAAACTCACTTTAACAAATGCTTAGAATAAAAAAGTCAACCCCCCCCTTCTCCTTAAAAAAAAAAATCAATAACAACGTAGAAAATTTCTCTGAAACTCGATCAACACCTGGGATCGACATAAAATTTCACTTAAGGTGCAGAAAAGACTTCATAGAAAGTTTCCTGAAAGTTTTACGGTAAGTCTCTAAAGTATATAGAAATTATGAATTTTTACGGCAAAAATTACAAATTCTGTCGTGTTTGAAATTTAAGTGCAGACGAACAAAGATATGATATAAACCTTTTAAAGCCTATTTCTCCAGATGTCGTTAATAGCATTCAATTCTACTGATATGAATTGATATTTTAATACCAAGCATTCT